GTCTGACTGGTAGGAGACCCTGAGGCAGACCCAGAATACGCTGGAGAGATTATGTATCTCATCTGGCCTGGGAACGCTTCAGAATCCCGCCAGAGGAGCAGGAAGACATTGCTGGGAACAGGGACGTCTGGACTGCCTTGCTGAACGTGTTGCCACCGTGACCCAATCTCAGATAAGCAAATGAAAATGGATCCATGTAATATGAGCATTTAATATTCTGAGCCTCATCTTTCCCAGATTCATTTGTACAACCTGGAGCACTACAGAAATTTCCCCTGTATTTAATTTTATGCCCAACAAGATGTGGTGTTGCTATTTTCTCATAGATGTCTGTTATACTCTCTACACCAGAACCTGTGTGGGCACAAGGTATTATGGGATATCAGAATAGGGTGAATGGGGACTTTTGCACCTTTTAAAAAACAGATGGGGACAACTGCCAAGGAGCTGAGCGTGCTTTCAGTTACTATGGCAACAAGTGGTGAAGGCCACAGTGGCTGTGGGTTGCAGACTGTTAAAGTGGTTTGTGTTGTTTCTGTTTGTTTGTGCATGCAATAGACATATGCCTGTGTGTGTGTGTGTGTTTTGTGCACAAAGGTTTCTGCAGTATGACGCTCTGTGTGCATGTTTCTTGGGCGTGTTTACAACAATGACAGGATATTTTTCAGGAAATTACCCCAAATCATATTAATCTCACAAAGTGGCCAGGGTCTTTAAAGTGCCAGCTCTGGAGGGGAAGTGTCTCCAGATTAGCGCTGTCAACTAGTGTCAACATTGGACAGGAAACAAGAGAGCCTCTTGCCGAGCATCAAAGGTACAGCAGATCTAATAGTCTGCTGCTTCAAACCTCTGAGTGAGAACTCTGTTCAAAGTCTCCTTAATCTTAAGAGGTGCTAAGAGAGAAATATCTTGGAGTTGCTACGCTCAAGACAAGCAATGCTCACAGCACTTTTATGGCGAAGTTGCTCTTAAGTTATTTATACAGCAGGTTACATGTGTGACCTATAGGCATGTAGCAGTTTCTTTCCTCCACTTCCTGAATGTTACAGTATGTCACAAATGTTCTAATTTAGTAGATGTTCTAATTTGAACCATTCTGAACTAATAAGAACTATTCAGTTAAATGTGTTAGAGCTGATACAGTACAGGAATAGCAAACCTAACCAGGTTCTTGCAGGACAAACATTATAAAACAAACCAGTCTGTGCAGAAGTAGCTTGCTTTGTTTCGTACATGAACAGACTGTGATCATCTTTGCCGTCTGTCTGTCTGAGCAGCGACCAGCGTCTCCACCTACTTGTAATGAGAGGCTGTGTGAGCAACATCAGACTGCACCTGTAGAAAAGCAAGCAGCCTCATCCAGGACAGCAGCACTAATAAAGAGGAAATTTAACATCCATGCCAAAAATAAAATGTGTTTACTGGGGCTGGCAGGGAGAGAAGTGGTACTAGGATTAAAGAGCTGCATTTGAAGTTTGTGTTTGCACAGAAAACAATTTTGATTCTGAATTTAATTTGAATTGGTGAACACCTTGTGTACAATAATACCGACCACACGTGCTCTAGAGCAGCAGCCAGGAGGTTTCCCACCATCTCTGACACACACACACCCACTCTCACTATTCCCTGTTTGCTCTCTCGTTCCTTCACTGGCACCAGGGACAGTTTATTGCTCCTCAGGCTCTTTATAACATGACTCATGGCTTTTGGATGGGATGGCACTCTAAATGTGCTTTGGTTGAGGCAATGAAGCCCAAGGCCCTTGGACAACTTTTACTAGTTCCGACTTGCCCATCTTAAGCCCAGTGTGACTGAGATTGGTTGATTTGACTATTGCAGGGCCATGTAAACATGATTGAACACAACAGATTAGATGCATTTAGTGTCAACAAGAAGTAGAAAAGTTAATTTTTTTTAAAACTCCAACTGCATTGACTGTTGGGTGTGTTGTGGGAACGTGCAACTTGCAAATCATTCTAACTGACATTTAGATCAGTTCACGCTAAGAGGAAAGGATTTTGTGGAAGAGGTAAGCGCGCTTACTCAACTTGAAAGTCAAGGTGGTGACAGAAGTTATGGGACAGTTTGTTTGTAGCCTACCAATAGCTCTTTACTTCTGGCGATCATATTTGGGTTTCAAAAATCACCTGTGAAGACTATCACAAAACAAAATGTGTAAGTGTCAAAGAGTTGTTGGACACAGAGCGTATTTTCTGCAATAATCAAAATGCCAATGGAAAAACTGGGTTTTTGTCAAAGGAACCAGTGTGATGCCAACTTCTGGGTTAGCCACAAAAAGTCATCATCTACAAACAAACCATGGGTCTCATGGTGACAGTTTAGAATTCAGCAAATGATTGCTAATTTCCATTTTCACCATCATCCACAAGTCTCAAACATTTTTATGAGACTGTCATTCAGCTTGTATGTAGCCTACATGTGTTTCATTAGTAGTGCTGATGGATAATTCAGTTTGGGTATTAAAATGAAATAGTTTGGATCAGGTAATGGAACTGTCTTCACCAATCTGAGCTCGCAAATTGCTTGTGAGACTTTTGAATGTGGTTGGATGAGCCTTGTATTTACACTAATCAAAATTCAGAGCCAAATATACTTGTTGGCAATTTAATCTCATGTATTAAGTGTTTTTTTTTCCATCTGAGAGAAGTGCCTGCTGGGGGAAAGTGAAGCAAATTCTTTCTTTACTCAATTGCCTTCCAGAGCCTTTTAACTATAAATATAACCATAAATAAGGAGATAAAAATGGCATTCATTGGTAGCTTTAATTATAGCTAATTACATCTTTAAACCAACTGGTTCCTTTATTCTGTGCCATTTGTTTAAAGACATTATAAGGTTAGGACAAAATATTTTCTTTTTTTCAGTGCTGACAAGCTAATAACTAGAATTTTGAAATGCAGTAGTTGCGGAAAGGTGCACAAATAGATTAACACATTATAACCACAGCAGTTTGCATGTGCAGGAACCTTCCAGACTCTTGTCTCAGTGCTTCCCTCAAATGTCTGTACAAAAAGCTACAAGGCTACAGTAAAGGTTGAGAAAATAACATGAAACAGCATAGAGATAAATTAATCAATCTCTCTGAAATGAACGATATGTGTTAAGTCAACCATATTTTAAAATATGTTTCTGGGTACAGGCAAGTGCTGTTTGAAATGTCAGCTTTTCATCCTTAGTACTGGAACCACAGCTGATAACAAATTATGGTTTACACAAACTGGCCAGTTGCCGTAACTCGGAGGGCTGAGCAAAGACAGCTTTGCAGTCAACCTAATAGTTATTGTGGTCCAGGTAATTATTGTTTTTGGCAAACACACTTGTGAGCTGGCAAGTCTTTGAATTGTTGATTTGCAGGAGAGGTAAACATCACCTGAGCCTGCAGCCTCCCTGAAACTAGGAGGTGAAGTTACATTGCTTTGCAAAGGCTGTGCTTTCATTTTGGGTCAGAGTTTTTCATGTAAAGGGTCAGACTGTTCCATTGAATGGTGGGGAGCTTTATTGTTCAGTTTTAGCTTAAACACATTCCCAGGGCTCTTACAATCTGACAAGACTTGGAAATTTATACCCTGTGCTTTGTTGAGCTTCTTTGGTGCCTCAGCTGCATTAACAGGAACTAGTATGAGGAGGAGAACAGGGAGGTCTTTCCCACTGAAAAGCCAGAACCAAAATCTGTTCATTTCATTATGTACTGCCATTTGAGAACACCAGCTGCCTCGACATGTCTTTCAAAAAAAATAATGAGGTGAAGCACACCATACTCAAGACAGGTCTGATTCGCATTAGAATTTAAATTCCATGAAGTGTCCTTGGGTTCCATGCTAGCACTGGATCCCAAGGCTGCCCTGTTGCTGAGAGAGGACATGTTACAAGTACCATAACAAACCCGTTCCTCCAACAAGTGTGAGGCACAGCATTGGTCACATTGTAAGATCTCTTGGCCTTTCATGCTTGGTGGAGTTAGTGGCTCGAAGCAGTGAACGGGGGAGGAGGTTGAGCAATTAGTGTGTGAAATAGATATCCTCTGCTTTTCCAGCAGCCAGCCCCGCTCTGCGCCCAGTACAAAGTGGGAGTCTGTCAGCAGTGCCTTGACAAGAGGAGAGTGCTCGCTGTTGTTTGTGCTTGCCTAGCGACCATCCTGACTGATTATATGGTGCGGTGACTGAGCGAACTGTTTCTTCTGGTGAATCAAAGCTTTCAGGAATCTATAAAACTCCATTCTCTGCATTTGGCACCTTAAGCAGTTTTTCCTTTTGGTTTCAGTATTAACACATTCGGGAAGAGCTACACTGTTGCTACGACATATTGAACAACATGAAGGGAATAATGACACCATCAATCTCAGGAGCAGTGTTAGTGTTTATTATGAAGCTGAAATGTACATTTGACTTTATCATTTTGTACGTTAAACATGGTTTACACAGATATGGTCCAGATATTTTGAACCCGAGTATGATGTGTGTAATCTGATCAGTGGCAGACAGAGATTACTGCCTCAGAGGGGAAATAGTCATGATAAAATCTCATTTGTAGAACACAATTACATGATAAATAGTTTTTTTCCTCAGTGGCTTTATCAAATTATTTAAAAATTCATTACAGTGTATTTACAGTGTAGTAAAGAGAAATGTTAGGATATATTATCAACATTCTACATCCAAAACAGATATTTGTTTTAATATAAAACACTGTTAACAGATTTAAGTGTATGCAAAGAAGTGCTGCTTCATAGATAGCTTGAGAACTTTAAGAAACACAAATAAACATACATTCATCATTTTCTAACACAACAGGCCTGTGACAGAAATTAAATCCTGGCAGATCTCGAAGGATAAGGCCAGTCATTTTTTATATTAATATTATTTTCAACACTCCCCATACAGAGGCTAAAACCACCAATGAGTTACCTCTACTTGTGGTTAGTGTAGAGGCAAATCATTGTCGTTTTTAGTCTCTGTATGGGGAGTGTTGAAAATAATATTAATATGGAAAATGACCGGCCTTTTCTTTTAGCTGTGTTTTTCACCAGGAAATAGTCTTTGCTATTTTGTTAGGAGGAAAATATCCACTTAAAAGCTGCCGATCTCGTGGCCGTAATCAATAATAGAAAGCACATAGGTCCAGTTTGTGCCTTGAATGTGTTGTCATTCCATTTGAGGTTCAGTCCTAAGCATCTGTTTGCCTTTCACAAACCTAATAATGTTGTTTAACAGCAGATACAGCTGTTTCTTGAAGATATTTTTAGAATACAAACCTGTGTGGATAAATATACCTGATAACAGAATGTTCATTTTGGTTTACGTCATTTAAATCGAGCTGAGGTATTTTCACTTCCAGCTACCACCTCTGTTTTCGTTAAGGTAATTAATTCAATGCAACTTTAATAAATGGCAAGTCAGCAGTGTTTTTTTTTGTAGAATATTTGCTTATTTTAATGATTATTCAGTTTTTCCCTTATATGTTAGAAATATACCCATTACAGTTTGTCACTGCTTGAGGTGACTCTAACTGGTTCTCTAATTGGTTGTTTTGTTGACCAGCAGCCACAAACCCAAAGAGATTCACACCATACAAAAAAGAAAGTTTGCAAATTGTTCTAGCACCAATTTAAATGATCTTTTGGGTATATAAAACATTTCCTGGATTTATCTTTCAAATAAACAGATGCTTATTTCAATGACTCAAATGTAATGATAACACAAACTGGAGCTAGTGTATACAGAACATTTAAGTGCAGGGTCAGCTGGGTTGTTTAAACGTCCGTGTCCAGCGGCGGAGGGAAGTCAAGACACGGTGACAGGGAGTCTTGACTGTGTGTGGAGCTAATCCCAGTGTCTGAGTCTGTGTCTGTGACATCTAGACTGTGTTTGAGTTTCACTGTCTGCAAGACGCTGCATTGGGTCTCGCTTTCCAGAGGGACAGGAGGACCAGACTTCTCCTCTGTGCTGTCCCCGATTTGCAGTGAACTCAGCTGTGCAGCCAGCTGCCAGCACTCCTGGTCCTTGGACACCAGTGTAGTGTCAAAGCACTTCAGCTGCTTGTCTACTTCTGCAGCTTGGTTATGAAGGGACATGCCAGTGACGAGGCTGAGTTTCAGTTCATCTTGCAGCCTCTCAAGTTCAGCAGAGTAGATTGGGTCGTCTGCCTCAGAGGGAGTCCAGGAAGCAGCCGCTGCTCCTTCCTGTTCACTGTCCTCATCTTGGTTGAGAGGGGAACTAGCCCTCCTCAGCTCTGCATCGATATCTCGGGACAGTTGGAGGATGAGCTCCTGGTGCCTCTGAACCTGCAGCTCCAGCTGTTCGACTCCAGCGCTGGTGTACAGAAACTCATGCAGCTGCTCCTCGCTGTGCTCCTCTAAACACTGAGCATGAGCCTGAGTCAGTGAACTCTCAGACTCTGCTCCTCTCTGCACCTGCAGCTCAAACTGCTCAATCTCCAAATCCAACTCCCTCATTCGCTGGATCTGCTCCCGGATGGTGTGATCCTGGTTGAGAATGAGCTTCACCATCCGGTCAATCTCCTCAGCGCCCGGGGAGCTCTTGATCTCCTTGTGAAGCTTCTCTAGCTTCCGGAAAGCTTTCTTCACGATGCGCTTTTGCATTTCTGGAGGGAGAGACTGGGGGTACTGAGAACCGTGCTCCCATCGCTTTGGCTTTGCTCCCTTGGACTTTACAACCTTCTTGGCAGGTTGAGGCACAAAATCACTGGTTTTGACAAGAATAAACTGTATGAAGGGTCGTTGGTCACCCCAAGCATACCAGAGCCTCAGGATTCTGGTGAGAGGAGGCAAAGCTCTCTCAAAACCCTTCCACCTCTCGACAAGACAGAAGTCTTTGGCCTCCCCGTGCAGGAGTCGCTTGCTCTCTGGGATTAACTTGTGATCCTCAAGTAATGCCTGAATCATATCTGCACATGTTGTGTGCTTTGTTACGCCACAGACAGCCTTCTCCTCGTTGCAGACAGTGACCTGAATCTCCTTTCCTACCACAGGCTCAGCGTCTTTTGTCCTATGGAAGAGAGAAAGCAAAGCTTAGAATTGTGGCTTTGGATTGAAGCATTTGTTTTCCCCCTATTTCCACATCAAATATCTTTAAGGTTGTGTATGGGGACTTTAAGAGCGTTAAAATCATCTTATTCCACCTCACTGGCTTACTGCACACTGTGTGTTAGTTTATTCAAGCACTTCAGTGATGTTAACATTGAGTGAACTGTGTACAAAACAATCTTTCTTACAGGAGAATTTACAGAGTTGCAACCTGGAGTAGTGTAAGACACCCAGATACTCTTGCACTCATGCTTTAGAAGTTCTTTTACTATTCTAACTAGTAGTAGTTTCTTTAACAGATCCTAGTTTGATGGTTTTCCATTAGGTCAGTGAGCAGGAAACTCCATTCGCTCAGATTCTGCTCCCTGGCTTGATTCTGTTAGACTATTACTCATCAGAAATGATCACTTAGCAGTTCAGTTCTGAGTTATCCCCAAGGCCCTCACTACCTTTTCTTCCCAACCATAAAACTTGTTCAAAATGTTACCTCTGCTGAGCTGAAGATGTCCATTTTTTGTATGCTTAATGGACCAACGGTAATATGCAGAACCTAATATCCAGTCATTAAATGACGGGCAGTGCAGACCTCCAGCGAACCAGTAATCAAATGAGTAGATCACACTGGCAGACATTTCAGTTTGATTTCAAGATAAAAAAGAGATATCATGTCATTATTTCTATGAAATATCATCATTTCTTTGGATTAATCGGGTTACCTCTGTTGTACTGTAGCCGACTGAGTTTCTGCAATTACAGACAGTTCAGTCTCAAAGGAACCAGAGAAAGATCATCCATATAATATCACCAAGAGCTCCTCGTCCACCTCTGAACTGCAGACCATAATGTTGGTCTGTGGTTTTGCACAGGTGATATTTCATTAAACTGTTAAGAGTAATCACTCAGAAAACTGTGCTTGTGGTTAATGTCAAGATTCACCTATAGTAAGTTCACAAACTTGCCAAATGCCAAACTCTGCTGATGTCACTGAGGGAGTTTAGCTGTAGCACAGCAAGAGACGTCTTCACACTATCTGATGTGAATGGACAGAAACTGTAAGGCAAAAATGGTGTTTATGAAATACGTTTTTAAAAAGTGTTTTGCTCTGTTTGTTTCAGTTTCAATTTCAGTTTAAAAAGAAGAGTGTGATGAATTCAAAGGCAAGTAGACATCACCCTTAATGATTTATTAATTAAAATCACATACAATTCAGCCAGGCGGTCAAATGTTCTTAGTCTTGGAACAGTGATGGCTTCAGATCTGAACCCTCATCTTGTAGCTGCTGTGCCTTTATCTGTGGAAATGACCTTAGTTGACTGCAGCCCACATTATCCACCGATTATCAGAAGGGAGGATGGACAGAAATACACATCTTCTGAAGAAGACACAGATTGTGCCCTCTGGCCCGCTAGCACAAATGAGATACTAAGTATAACTCAGAGAGGAGAGCTTACAGTAAATGCTGCATCATTGTTTACTGACTATGCAGGTTGACAGTACACATCATAAAAACTAGGTAAACTGTGAGTCAGTAAGGCCTAAGGAATGTGATATGTAGGCTGCATAGGCTGGCTAATGGTTGCTGAAACCCTTGAAGACGAGCAGGACCATGATCAGTACAGCATAGCTGTAGTGAACATCTGTAACTATCCCCTAAAGTACAAACATCTCCCACTGTCCTGCCTGTTTGTGGTCATATCTGAACATACAGATGAATAAACATGCTCTAAAGACAATTGGGTATTTTAGAAATGGTGACACCCTCCAGCTGTGCAGGAAAAGAGTATAGCACACCAGGGAAACACCTGTATTTGTCCTGTGCCACAATCACCAGCCCTCAGACAACATCCTGCCACCACAGTTCACTGGACAGAGGGAGGAAGGGCGAAGATGGAGTCCATACACTGTGGTCTACTTTGAGTGCCACTCTAATGTACAGAAAGTGTTGACAAATCTATGACTGTGGGAGCATTAAACACATTTAGCAACTGATGGCTCGCAGTGCTTTAAAAGGAAGCTTCTGTCATATATGTAAACACTGTGAGGCTGAGCCGCATTGCAAACAGATATCAAGTCAGTAATTAAATACATTTTCAATGGAGTACAAGTCAGCCAAGTGGCTAGATGTGATGTCATTCCTATTTTAATATTTTATCCACGTCTTTCATGATATTGTGTGATCACAGGTTAATTAGCTTATCTATACACTAATTTAGGCCGGAAGTCAAATTCCTCAGGACTACAAACTGTATTCCTGGAACCTCATGAAAACAGCAGGAGGGAACAATATGATTATCTTCTGAAGACAAACATTTTGGCGAGTCTGGTGGTATCAGGCTGTGGGAGTGCCACAACCTGAAAAGCTTCTTGTCAGCTCCCTGCCAGAGCACACACAAATCCTGCATGCACCATTGGGCAGATTGCATCGCAGCAAATGCATTCATAAGGGCTGTCACTTCGGCTGCCATTGATATTCATAGCTGGGGATTAAGATGCAGCTCCAGACGCAACAAATGAGGCTGCCCTCATAGGTCACACCTTTGGGTGATAAATGCCAAAGCTGACACTGATATTGTGATGAACTCCAAATTTCAGAGTGGAAAGGTGTCAGTGGAAGTAGGGTGTATGATGATCTATAGAAACAATAAATTGTAAAGTTCATGCCACAGCAAGGGTGGATGCAGTGCAGTGCATAATAAAGGATGGGTTAGACCTCAACACTTCACACTCGACTGAACCCAGGAAACGTGAGCAGGTTTGCGTGACCTCAGCTTGAACTCAGTGACACATCAGAGGCATTTCAAGTGATATGAATTTAAATACAAGTTTCTGAGTGGACGTTACAGCTGCACTGTGCTGGCATGGCTCGCTTTCATTGTAATCCTCATAATGACAACCTTGCAGACGTTAACAATTCCTTCTGGTGTCAAGCTACAGGCTGCCACAGAGCACATGCTGTTGGTTTGAGCAAGTCATAACAAATGACAGAACCGCACTGTTCAGTCTCAGCACGTTTTCCGACCAGTAGTGATGCACATATTTCCGACAGGAACAAAGCTGTGATCAGAAGTGGAAAGTAACCAAGTACATTTACTCAAGTAGTGTACTTAAGCACAACTTTGAGGTATCTGCAGTTTACTTGAGTATTTAAGTACTTCATGCACTTCATGCTTCAACACTACATTTCAGAGAAAAATTATGTACTTTGTACTTTTTACATTTCTGTGGTAACTAGTTACCAGTTTTCAGAAAGAGGTTAATAAAACAAAATACAATATAATCACAAGATTTACTAATCCTTGGTATAAAATCCACAACCCAACCAGCAGTAATTCAAATTATAAGCATATTATATAGTTAAAATTAGTTCTGCCTTTATTAATTGCAACATTCAACCTGATTTACACAATAAAACATCAGTAATTATAATGGAATATGATGTATATCAATATAAACTGTGCCATTTTGCATAATGAGTACTTTTGGTACTTTAAATATACTGTATTTCCTGCTAATACTTTTGTACTTAATTTTGAATGCATGCCTTTTACTTGTAACAGAGTATTTCTACACTATGATATTGCTGCTTTTGCTTAAGTAAACAATCTGAGTGCTTCTTACTCCACTGACTGTGATAGCATATCACCAAATATATAATGTGGCCACTGCTGTCAGGTGTGGAATGAATATTTCCTATTATGTGGTGGTTATAAAATTTATAGGATTGCTCTTACAACTGAAAAAGAGCTTGTCTGTACTTGAAATCAGATAAGATAAGAGCACTGTTTGTTGACAAAGGCTACTGTAAATCATTGGAACTCTATTAGAAGGTTTGATCATCCATCTATTATCTATGCCTCTTATCCTCAACAGGGTCACAGGGGTCAGAGCCAATCCCAGCTGACACTGGGCGAGAGGTGGGGTCCACCCTGGACAGGTCGCCGGTCTATCACAGGGCTGACACTTATAGACAGACAACCATACACACTCACTCCTACGGGCAGTTTAGAGGGAATATGATGTATATCAATATAAACTGTGCCATTTTGCATAATGAGTACTTTTGGTACTTTAAATATACTGTATTTCCTGCTAATACTTTTGTACTTAATTTTGAATGCATGCCTTTTACTTGTAACAGAGTATTTCTACACTATGATATTGCTGCTTTTGCTTAAGTAAACAATCTGAGTGCTTCTTACTCCACTGACTGTGATAGCATATCACCAAATATATAATGTGGCCACTGCTGTCAGGTGTGGAATGAATATTTCCTATTATGTGGTGGTTATAAAATTTATAGGATTGCTCTTACAACTGAAAAAGAGCTTGTCTGTACTTGAAATCAGATAAGATAAGAGCACTGTTTGTTGACAAAGGCTACTGTAAATCATTGGAACTCTATTAGAAGGTTTGATCATCCATCTATTATCTATGCCTCTTATCCTCAACAGGGTCACAGGGGTCAGAGCCAATCCCAGCTGACACTGGGCGAGAGGTGGGGTCCACCCTGGACAGGTCGCCGGTCTATCACAGGGCTGACACTTATAGACAGACAACCATACACACTCACTCCTACGGGCAGTTTAGAGTCTCCAGTCAACCTAAGCTGCATGTCTTTGGATTGTGGGAGGAAGCCAGAGCACCAGGAGGGAACCCACACAGGCACAGGGAGAACATGCAGACTCCACATAGAAAGGCCCTAAGTTGGCCAGGGCTCGAACCTGGAACCACTAGATGTTGTTTAATAATAACTATGGCCGGGTTGTTTATTGGAAGGAGGAGAGTCTCCACTTAATGTATCATAAAGTAAAGTTTAAGCTGGTGAAGGAAAAATCTTTAGTTTTGCAGTTCTGATAGTGAAAAGTTAAGAAATTACTCAAGTTGTCACATTTCATCATGAAGGGGACATTAACATCTGACTGCAACAAATTTCATGAGGACATCCAACAGCTGCTGATACATTACTATTCGCTATAACTACATTCAGCTTCCGGGCATCATAGGTATCCACCAGATTTCAGTCATTTCATATTTCTTGTTCACAAAGTGTTGCATCAACTGGCAAACATTTAGCAGCAACATCTTGCTCTAGAATCCACAGGTAAATCTCAGTTTCCTTATTTTATTGATCCAAGAAAGTCGTTATGGTCTGCCATGATGACCACCCCAAAACTCTTATTTCTGCTCTGAGGAGCCAGGAGGCTGTATCAATTACACTGTGGTTCCTCATTCCTCTCTCCTTGCAGTTTATCTTTGTGTCTTATGTGGGCGGGACTAAGACACAAGGAAAAGATGCAAGTGATACAAATAGTGGAACTGGGATTCACCTAATGTGTTACTCTGGATAATCCACAGACCTGGAACTACTTTCTACTAAAGAAATACCTTCTTATGAAAACTATGCAAGACTAAATACCACCAAGTAACCCTTTAAAATAGGCTGAAGGAAATGGGACTGTCTGCTGTCGGGTGTGATACATCACAGTCTAAGATTAGAAATCTTTACATTACCGTTTCCTGAACTGATTAAAGTAGCTCTGTTTTCAGTTCACGACCATCACACAAAGAATATAGGGGTCGAAGTGCCGCTGCTGGACAGGAGATGCTTCCTCTCACTCTTATCTGAAAGAGGATTAGGAACTGACAAGGAAATAACAGCACTTTTCGATCCAGATATGTTGATCTTTGGGATGACTCCCTCCCTCTCTGATAGGCATCTGTGAGCAGAGACACAACACACCCCTTCCCTTCTCTGCCCTCTGTGAAACCACCCATCCCTCTTCTTTTTCTCCCACCAGCAGGTCAGCAAATCGCCACATAAGCTCTTGCTCAGTGACAATAAATGGCTTGATCTCTTTCAAAGCAAATGCTTTTTTTGCCATTTAGTGTGGCCTCCTAATTTGTGTTAACAAAACCATTTGAGCAGCTAAGTGATCCTGTGCACAATGCTATCACGCTGCAATTGTGGCTAAGTGCAAGATTAAGTGGAATAGGTCACTACATTGCTTTGGTCACTTATATCGGTGGCTGGCAACCATTTCATTTGAATCCCTTTAGGCCTGTATATGTGCTGTTTCATTATAAGACAGCAGCTTGACACACAGGACTCCCTGATGACGCACTTTGGTGGTAAAGAGTTGTTAGGTGTAATCATCATCACATTTAAGTTTTACAATAAAAGTTTGTGAAAATTTTGGTTTCAAGCAACTGCAGCTGCACATCACCTTCATCTAGTCATTTTCTGGCAAACCTCCAGCTCTGTGTCTCAGCTCGAGTAAAAGCCAGGCTCTGGAAGCATAAGTCTGACACATCTACAGATCTAAATACTTGAGTTAATTATAGGTGCTGCAATTGTAATTAGTACGCAACATGAAAAATAAACAAATAAAACATCCACTGGAGACAGTTTCAGTCAAAGTCAGAGTCAGCTCTGGGTGATGTGAAAATGCATCCATTCTGCTGCTGGTGCCACGGTCACTGAGGTTTTGTTCCTGACCTTAATCCTAACCCCTTTCTATTCAGTTTGGTGGTAAATAAAAGCCTTAATGAGTAAAGCTAAAAAATGTGTTTTTATCCAAAATTAAAACCTTCCTGATCCTGGTCTTGTCAACATGAATCCTGCATGCTCCCTGTGAGGGATTAGATCATGTCCTGGAGACTCTAAAAAAAGAAATGTTCACAACAAAAACCTGGGAGGGGGGGTGG